CATTAATGGACAACCGAGAAACAGAGATGAGTACTAGGCGATAGTCAAAGATCCGGTAATGGCGGTAGGTTGTTCAGTAGGCGGATTAAGGAACGACAACTAGCCCGATTTAGTAGAGGTTATCATCTATTAAAATGCAACAGATTATTTGAAAAACAGCCTTGACATTTTTCGCATGTGTAATAAGAAGGTGGGCATGAAAAGTTTCTTTTGAAAGCTTCAGCACATTAGAAGTTTTGGCATGTATAACATCCCCGATTCAACACTCCATACCGTCGAGTATGAACTGGGTCTCGGAGTTCCCATCTTCCGGATTCCAACAGCGAGTTGACCTCGGGCATTTTGACATGTATCAGTCTAATACGAGTTATAGTAGAAAGATAAGTCGATCACCACATTACAAATTCAGTAGGATTCCCTGATCTACCTGAATGTATATATGTCTAAGTGTCTGCGAGGTAGATCACTTCAGTGCGTAAAAGATGCGAATGTCAAAGGTGAGCCGTTGAACCCGATGCTCAATGGTCGTACGACTAAGTGCTCACTCGTCGACATCTACCAGCAATGACTGGGAAACAGTATCCTCCACGAGAACGCCAGCGTAAATAATAACTCGTTTGCCGGATATTATATCAAACTGCAGCGGAAATTATCTCATAACAGGTGTTAAAAATACACTGAATAGCTGGGGCTCCAAGCAACGTGTTGACTGACTACCGGAAATTTTAGCTGGGAGTTTGTATACTGTTGAGGAGCTGGGCATCCCGACGCGCCCTATTGTCGTGTTACGTAGGTCAGCTTTTACAAACCTTTACAATGTTTTATGTGGGGGTTATGGCCTACTCCAGATGTAGTTGTCGGGGAGCATATCGGGAAAAGCAGCTGTGTTCCAATTCACTATGGACTGCCAGCGTTAATTAAGCAAATCAGTAGACATGCTCTCAACCGCCTAATACCCACTGGATTACGACTTCAGCGTCGGCCAGTTTTGTGACCGATGCTGGCTATAACGACTATGGTGACTCCAATGCGGAGCATATTTCCATCCAAGCTCTCATTCACTAGCGTTGAGTGCAAAAAACTCGAAAAAATCGCCGGAGTTCCATTATTGAACGCGTTTAGTAGCGTGGTTCTTGAGGGTTCATTTTGGAGAAACTGACTTCGCTCGAGCGCCTAATTGTCGGAAAAAGACTCATCGATAAGGAACACAACACACTATAAGCATCGCGCACTGTTGGAATTGAATCCATGCTTTCGTTCCGGTGTTGGGTGGACACTCATCATCATCTGCCTTTTCTGGACTCGTTGAATAACACAACGTCCAATCAGCAACTGGCTTTTATGGCTTTCCTGATGTTTTCTCATCTTCAGGTGGTTTGAGAGTCTCAGTTGGTTTTGGGCATTCCAGAACAAGTTTCAGGAATCTGATCTTTCCTACACCAGATTTCTCGAGTATTCATTCCCTCTGAATAGAGGTGAAGTGGGTCGGCCTTATCGAAAATAGAGGCTTTGTATTCTCTAGACCTCATAAGCATACACACAGCACATTTGTCGCAGTCATCGTTCCACAATTGTCGTTCCGCTGTAAGCCTGTAAGCAACCAGCAGCACCACCAGTGTTGGAGAATGGGAGGTGGTTGTTGACACGTATTCGTGAAAATCAAATTGTTATTGAAAACACATCGATTCAATTCACTTCCAGACGCCAACAAACCAAACAGGCTATCACATTGAGGTGGGCCTTCCGAATTCTACAGTGTATTTCCATCAATATGAAGACTACTATTGGAGCAATAATACTAATTTCAGCTTGTATGGCTTGTGAGGATTGATCATCACTTTCTGATCGAAACAACATAAAAGAAAATCCTGCTACGCACACCACAGATTTGGAGAAGTAAGAACAGAGGTCACAGAAAGTGATGAAATTACAGAGCAAACTTCTACTGGTTTGCAAGAGTCCATCCAATGAGATTCATGAACTTGTATTTTTATGTAAACTAAAACCATAGGGAAAAGTAAATTCCTCGGTGTAAAGGTTTGCGCGACCTTCGGTGTCACTCACCTAGATCAACCAGAAGTGTCACGAAATCGATGATTTACGCAGTGAGAAAATTCAAAGGATTTGAGATGCTTCCATTCTGGTAACAGCACAGGTAAGAATAATTCAGCTACTAGCTAATTCGACGAAGTCAATTTATCAAATAGACACTCAG